CGTGCATCACTTTTTGTGTACTAAAAAGAATTTTCAGATATTTCAAATTTATTTTAGAGAAAACTATAGTTTTTAAACTTACTAAAAATAAAAAAAATACTCAAAAATATTAAAAAGTATATTACTATTCTGTAATACAGGTAAATGTTATTNGTTGTTATTAACAATTGAATTTTAATATAAAATTTATTAATTTGAACTTTGAATTGTTAAATATATTTAACAAAATAAACAAAAAAACGGGTTTTAAACAATCCGATTATTTAATAAGATGATTTTGTATTATAACTATTGCCTGCAATTAAAAAAATTTTGCTGTAATTTTTAATTTTATATCCTTATTTAATAATAAAATAACTTCTATTTTGAATCGCAGTCAAAACAATCGTATCTTTTAAAAATGAAATATTTTTTATATTAAAAAATTACGATTCTAAAATTTCTTGGTTTTTGAAAAATGTTTTAAATAAAAACTAAAAATTTTAAATAATTGATTTAAACAAAAATAAAAAAAAATGTATTATTAAAGTGTAAAATTATAATTTTTAAAATCGAGTAAAAAATGCTTAAACTTTCAAAGTATATAACCTTAAACTACCAATTCTATAGAAATAAGTTTTAATCTTTAATTTTGCTACTAATAATTAAATAAATAGGTATTTTGTAAATCAGAAATTTTTATATTTATATTTTTGTAATTTAAAAATATAATCTTTAATTGTTGAATGATTTCTTATATTAAAGCAAGAAAAAAATCTAGCATTTTATAAAGTATTGTTATAATTTTCTTTATTGCATATGTTTTCATGTAATTTTTTACAAAGTAATATATATTGTATAGTATTTACATTTACCTGTAACCAAAGCCTGCAAGGGAAGTTAGACTTAGGCAGTCAATAGAGTGCACGGGGTTGGTTTTAGCGGGTAAAAGACTCCAGTATTAGAGCTATACCTAAGTATGTGAAACATATTTTACCGTATGTTTACGTCGACTAGGTATAAATACTCTTATAAAGAAGGTATAGCGAAAAGGTCTTCGTATGGATTTCCCATCCCTAGGAAACAAAAAAAATTATTTCACTTTAAAATTATGCTACAAAAACATAGCAATGCGACTCTTGATTCATTTTAACTAGCAACTCTTTTTCATTTAATTAAAGCTTGTTGCAAACAATTTTGCTAAAAAAGACGTGATATTCTGAAAAAAATCATTTTCAAGATTGTAAAGTTTACCATAATCGGTGTAGAAAATTATCAAAGTTTATCTTTAGCACAAGTTTCAGCAAAATTAAATGTTCAATTTTGACAAATGTTTGACAACGCAGTATTTTTACTTATTCATTTGCTTGATTTCTTAAATTTCTAAAATTTTTTGGGTATATCGCAGTGCAAATTTGTTAATTGGAGAAACCCAAATAAATAGAAGTAAGGTTGTGGTTATTTACAAATCTTAAAAACCATTCTTTTCTATACTTTAAATATCTCTGTGATAATCCGCCACACACTAAATCAGAAAGAAGAAATGATTAACTGAATAAAAGTATTTAAACAGATTAAATAAATTATGATACCTTTATTTTAAATACTAAAAACAATTTTCAAACAAATAAAAACTAAGTCTTAGTACAGTGTCCTCGTTAGTTCAAAAGTACCTGACTTTAGATATGAGGCTACGAGGATATACAGTCTTATTCTTTTCTTTGGTCCTAATTTTTCTTATAATATGCCAATAGTTCTTGCATCTATTATTCTAGGAGTTGTTTTTTTAAGATGTCAAATGTTTTAGAATTTTTTATATAAGACTCAGTTTTAATCTCTTGAAAGAGATTTTTACTGTCCGGTCATGAATAGATTAAGAAATTTTTTCAAGGCTTAATCAATGAGAAATTAACATTATTATAAACAAAGTTTTGAAATTACATAAATTTATTATTTAGATCATATATTTATTTAATTTGTAATGAAGGGGGTTATGAGTTTGAGCTGTGTTATGAACAAATTAATTGTAACTAAAGCTTACAAGGTAAGGCAGACGCAGACAGTCAATAGAGTACACGAGGAATGTTCTTGGATGAAAAACATGCAGTATTTTGCGCTATACTTAATTATATAAAATTTTTTCTACCGAATGTTTCTTTTGACTAGGTATTAATATTATAAACGATGAGCATAACAAAGGATCTTCGTATGGTTCACATCCTAAGTAACAAGAAGAGATGAACATTGTTTCAATTAAAACTATATTTATGGTTTTAAATAATCGTTTCATCGTATAATTTTTGTCATTCAAAATATTATTGTGTAAACTCAACTACTTGAGGCAAAAAAACCGAAATATTGTATTATTTGTTTCCATTTTATAAAAAAATAAAAGAAATCATGATAAAAAAATATACTTATTTTTGCAAGCAAAGTTTTAATTTCATCTACATCCAAAAAAGTTAAAATGAAAATATCAATGAAGCAACGAAAATATTAAATAATAAAAGGCAAAGAATTCATTAACACTTTAAAAATCATACAAATGTAATCAAATGTCACAGTTTTGAATCAATTATTTTTCTGTACACAAGTGAATATGCAAGCGAACAAAATAAACTATGCTAAAACAAGATTAAGTAAATGCATTAGGTACATTTAGTTTAAAGAAGGAAATATCATTAAGGATAGTTATATTTTTAAATGTAATTACCTAAGTTGTTCCTCTATTAAAAATAGTATGATAAATATGTTATAATAGAAGTTTATTTATATTTCTAAGTTTATTTTATTTAAAAAATTATGAAATATGTGGTAGAAAGAGAAACCCTAGATTAATTTCTATAAGAATTACGTACCAAAAATATTGTTGTACATTAGGCAACCACGTAAAATTAACTAATCAGAAAATATCAAAAAATTTTTTAATAAAAATATTTTAATCCTTAGGGACTCGATGAGCAAAAGAATTAACAATTAGAATAAAAGTTTGTGCAACAATCTAGTTTCAGGTGTAAATCATCATAGTATATATGAAAGGCATATGTACTCATAATTATCACACAGAAATCAGGAAATATATAATATTTAACCATAATAGATTCAATTGCATATACAAAAAAGTTATGAATATTCCTCATGAAATTCCAACGCCAAGGTTTTGTCGAAGATCCGAAAGAAAAATGTGACATTATCAATAATAATTTTAAAAGCAAATCTGATACAATAAAATGATAAATAATTATGTAATTTATATATTCCTAGTCCATATACTATATTATTAATAGATAGTATAATGTTTGTGAAATTAAGCAAAAAAAATTCTTAAACTAAATAAATGTACAACTCCTCTTCCTTAACTTATTCCAATAGAGAATTTTAGGCTTGTTTTTAATAAATTATTATGATTTATCCGTACACAAGAACTTTAATGATAATGTTTATAAAATTAACCTGTTATTAGCACTTTAAAAAATATTATTTTTATAACTACCTATTATACAAGAAATTTATTAATTATGCTTTTCATCTAAAGTCATTTATATAAATAGTAAAAATAAAAAAATTTTTGCATCGATTTATGTCATGTTTACTAAAGATTCTTTTAATAAAAGAAGCCTTGAATTAAAAGAGTTTGCTTCTTGTAAATAAAACATCTCGCTCATATCTTTTCTATAAATCTTTGTTAGTTTCTCATAAACTTAAGGTTCAAAATTATTTAAAAAAATCTAAAAAATAATTTCTAAAATTTATTGAGACACTACGCCATAAATAAATTCTAATGCAGTTTTGTGCTTCTTTGCATGATTGTGATCTAAAAAAATCTTAATATTTAATATCTACGTTAGAGATTTAAATTTTAAAAAATGCTTATATTACTTAAACCTCCCCAAAAAAATTAATTAAATCTAATAATTTTCTGATAAAAACTGAGTAATAAATGACATTTTGATTTTTTTATTAACTAATATTTAGAAAATAATGATGATAAAAATTAAAAAGTTAAGATTGTAAAAATAATTAAATAATGATTTCAATATAAGTGGATTATTTTGTGAAAAGATTATTTAATTCAATCAAATTTTATAATATTGCTCCGATGAATTGTATTACACTAAATATAAACCTACTTACTTGGACAAAAAGTAAAATACAAAAAGATTATTTCTTTTAACTTATGATATGTAATTAATATAATTAGTGGATTTGAGTGTTATGATAGCCTGAAAAGATCAAAATTTATAATATAAAATAAAAATAAATATTTTCTTGAAAAATCGTAATTTGGATTATAATTTAAGTTAGCGAGCCTTTTTCTTGTGCTCATTTAAATAATTTAAATAAATAACATTAGATTTGTTATTAAATTTTGTAATTTATTCATCCTAGTTTCTTAGATACCTTAATGTTTCTCCTTTTAACTAAATAAAATAATTAAACCATCAGTTAAATTAAATTTTACGCCAATGTAGATATAGATCATAAAATAACCCCAATATTTGAAAGAACAGCAAGTTAAATATCGAGTTATTTACTAGAAAATAGTAACTTGAGTAATAAACGTGAATATAACAAAAACCAACAACCCGTTTTGTCTTAGAAGTTGTGTTTCCAGTATTTAAGGTAAAGTTCTGAGGAGAAAGCAAAAGAGAATGTGCTACTAGAAGAAAAACGAAGTGTAAAAAATTTTAATCACTAACTAAATACATTAAGAATCAAAACCATTTAAATAAAATCTCTAAATTAATTCTAATTTTTTAGCAACAAACAAAATCAAAAATAATTTATAAAAAATCACCTTGCACTCACAATTAAATATCTTTATCATACAAAAACAAGCAGTGTCAATTTCAAGGTGATAGGGTAAGACAGGTTCAGAGTAGTGTTTTATTGCAGAAAAGTTATTTTTATAGTTATAAAAATAAATTATATAACTTTTAATACATGATAAAAACCTATTAACTTATTTAGCATAAAAAAATATTCACTAAGAATATGTTCAATCACATCATTAAATAGTAGGTGTCGTGGCCGAGCGGTTAAGGCGATCGGCTTAAGATCGATTTCTTGAGGGAGCGTGGGTTCGAGTCCCACCGACACCATTTTTATTTAATAAAATTANTTTTTTTAATTTACCCTTAATGTCTGAACAGCTACAAAATCCATTTGTCATTCAATGCATAAATTGTAAAGAAATTCTTGGAGACTCTTTTTTTCTCTTAGATTACAAAAACGATTGGTTACTTTTCTCTTCGTTACACAACTCAGTCATTGTTTCAGAAGAAAATAAAGAATCTTTAGAAGAATTTGATTACAAATGTAATTACAATGATATATTTTGTAAGTGTAACACTATTGTAGGTAAGAAATATGTTACAGTTAATAAGAATNTAAGTGAATTTGTTAATAAGTTTGGTATTTTCAGAAGTAAAATTATTTCTTACCAGTTAGGTAATTCTTCTGTAAAAGAGCACAGTCTTTCTTCTTTGGCTGAAGAAATAAGTAAATTAGAAAAGTTTTGTGTTTATTTGCATAATAAAATAGAAAAAAATAAAAAATAAATTATTTTTTTTATTTCTTTTTAAAATATTATTTTATTAAAAATATTATTTTATTTGTTTAATTGACATTTATTTATGAATTTATAAATTCAATCCATTCATTCATTTCTTCCAAACTATTCACTCCCAAAGTAACAAAAGTATTTTCTAAATATAATTTAAATACTAAATTATTTACCTTTTCTAAATTAATTTCTTTTTTACTAAACATTTTATAAATCTCATTTTTTCTGTAAAGAATGAATTTATCATTCACTTTGATTAATTTTACTTTACTCCACTCTTTATCATACATCAATAAATAATCATTTTTTAAAGAATAATTGTCTATTAAATCAGTAAGAATGAATGATTGTAAACTAGGAATATCTTTCATAAGCTTGGAATTTAAATTTATTTCTATTATTTCTTTATTGATTTTATTTCTGTAAGGATCATAAGTTAAAGCTTCATTTGGTTTGATAAATTTTCTAATTAAATCATAATTTTTTCTAATTAACCAATCATTTACTTTTATAATTAAAAAAGTGTCATCCAATGAATATTCAATATGTAATATTTTTAGTTTAGGAAAATCTTTTAATACTTTTCCTGGTGAATATAAATTTACTGTAGAAGTAGAAAGAGTACTTAAAGTTATTTCTTCGTATTTGTCTAGGTTTTTATAATTAAGGTAATCTTCTTTCATTCCAATGTTATTCTCAAAATTCTCTTTTTTATTTGATTCTTTGGAGTGCACTGAAATATTTTCTATGCTCTTCATTAAAGATTCTTCTTTTTCTTCGTGTTCTTTTGTTTCTTTAAATTCATGTGTGGTTTCTTTTGTCTGAATTTCTTTCATTTCATGCATCTTGTCACTTGTTACTTCTTTCTCTTCATTTTTATTAAAAAAGTTTTGTTTAATATTTTTAAAACACTCTTCAGTGTTCAAAGTGTATTTTTTAAAATTATTGTTAAAAACAATTTTTGACTTTGGAGAGTAAGAAAATAAAGGAGAGTTAGGAGAAATTGGCTCAGTCACTAAAATTGTGTTTTTCCTTTTATTTTCTGTTTGAGGAGTAAAACTAAAATTATTTTTTATACAAACAGTCTCTTTTACTTCAGGAGTATTGGTAACTCTTACAGCTGTGTACTTCTTAATTACTGGTATTTCTTTTTTTACCTCATTTTTCTTACTTTCTGGCTTTAATGCAGATTTTTTAGGAATGTCACCGGCTTTAATTTCTATGACATATTCTTTATCATCTTTCTTTCTGATTCCTCTAATCCCTTTGTTTATTCTGGTTAACTCATCCAATCCTAAAACATGATAAGTACTTGTTTTTGAGGAAAATCTTTCTTGGTTTCTCCTTTTTTCTTTTGGCTGGTTTATGCCTTTTTCTTTTTTGTTTGTTTCTTTGACAAAATTCTCTGAAAAATTTGACAAAACTTTGTCAAATTCTTTAATTTTGTCAAAGTCTTTTTCATGCACTTTTTCAAATTTAGGTTTTGTTTGTAATTTAAAAGAAGAGAAATTGCTTATTTTATCAAAATTATAACTTGTTCTCTCAGTTTTATGGCTAGTTTGTTCTGCATCATCACTTGTTACNTCTGTTTTATCATTCATCTGTGATCTCTTTCCATTTAAAGAAACCTTACTTCCAAACCTGTCACTCTTTAATCTGTTCAACTCATTACTAAAGGAAGTATCATTAGTGTTAGACTCTATCAGTTCCCAAAATCTTTTTTTTCTGTCATATTCGCTTGTAATCGAATTGTTTCTTGTCATAAGGGTGTTTGTTTTTTTTTATTATTTTTAATTAAATTGTTATTTTAAATATTATTTTAATTTATTTTTTTATTGATTGGAATGTTCTTTTAAATTTGCTTGCTTAAAATTTAAAAAATTTTTAGTTTAAACACCAAAGTAAAGCTTTAAAAGGAAATGACTGTTTATAGAATATTAAATCATAAAAAATTTTAAAGTTGTTATTTCTATTTTGTAAATTAGTATTATTTATTAAAATTTAAGAAATTTAAAAAATTATTAGTAATTTGTACTGGTTTACACCCAAAAAGAATTATTACATACTTTTATTTCTTTGGTAAACTGTTTTTTATGACTTAAATATTTTTATTAAGTAAAATTATTTATTTTTTACTTGACTAGGCAAAGTATAAAAATATTAGGAAAAGAAGCAAGAAATGTCTTTTTTTTTATTTTATATGATTGTAATTTTTTAAAGTAAATTTTGTTAACAGTTTTAGTGATTTTTATCACATTTTTTCTTGTGATTAATTCAATAAAAATCGTTTTTTTAAAATTGTCCATGATAATAATTAAAATAAATCTTCATGAAAAATACTTTTACCACAGAAGAAAAAATATAAAATATATATAAATTAACCCAATAGAATTTTATTTAAAATTTTTTTTAATTCTTCAGTTATTGCTACAAAAGCTTTATATTAAAACTTAAGATTTTTGCTGATTTATTTGTAACATATTTTTTTGTTTTATGATATGATTCTAAATTTTAGTACATACATTAGATTTTTAAAAACATACTAAATTTTTTTTGTAAATTAGATATATATGTTTATATCAAATTTAAATTTCTCTCAGTTGATTATTTTTTATTCAAGATATATTTGTATAAATATTCTTTTATGAGCTAAAAACATTTTTATTAATATATGTTATTAAACAAACCTTTTTTCTATATTCTGTATTTAGTAAATCATATATTTTTAGCATAACACACATCTTTTTTCCTTTCTTTGAATGTTTAATAGCCTCGAATCTTATGTTTGTTAAAATACTTAG